CATACAATCAAACCAACAAAAGCATGGGTTTGTCATTTGTTTTAGTTTCACCCTACTGTGTGTAGAGGGCTACAAAGTGGGCACACTTTCAGCACAAGTGTGAGGACATGAAGTTGAGCCCCAGCACCAATATAAATACCAGGGGGCATTACAGGTAACCTCCAACCACAGATCCTGGGATACTGATATCCTAGGTCAAGCTGGATAGCTATACTAGCTAAATTGAGGTGATCTCTGAGTTCAAGTGAGAAACACAGCCTTAATACATAAGGCAGGAAGTCCCTAAAGAAGACAGGTATACGTGCACCCACACATGTGACCGTTCTAACACACACTGCTGACACCACATACATACACACAAGCAAAACCAAGATCTGAAATATAGGACATCAGAGAAAGATCACATTTATATTTTTTTTCACCATTCAGGAAATTCAAATCCTGTGATGTTCAGACCGATATTAATAGAAAATCCATAAATTTCTGATAATATACTAATTAAGCCAAATTTTACATTAAATTGCTATAGGCTTGGCTCAAATATGTTCACAGATCTACCATTTGCATCTGTTGACTTTATTGCAACCATACTATGTGAGGAAATTGTCTACTAAGCAAAGGCAAAACTTGTAGCACCTTGGACAGGCTGGTTTTAAACTGAACATATTAATGTTCTGAGAAGGGAATGACAGAATACAGTTTCTTCTTAAGTGGAGTATTTCACCAAAGCAAAGCAGGTATAAAAGATTCTCAATCTATGCTGAAGCATTAAGCCTATAAAATACCCATCATATATCACAACTTGCTTTCAAGTATTAAGAGCATTAAATAATTCTTAACTCAGAAAGCCTTGACCATTGCAGATTTCATTCACTTGCTCAAACATATTTACATAGCTGTAAAATTCCCAAATGAATCATCAATCAGACAAAGTAAGAAAAAATAATGCTTGGAGAATGGGAAGATAAAATTAAAGCTATGAGAAGAAAACACTAACGGCTTCTTGGGTATGATGTCATTAGTTAATTCAGAGGAGAAGCTGACCAGCTCATCTGTTGTCATTGCCATTGTTCCTAAATTCAGAATGAAATGTAGGATAGTCACCACACACACACACAGACACACACACATTCACACACGTATGCACACTCAACACACACACACACACACACACTAATAAATACATAGCACATGCACATTTATACACACATACATATACTGACATATACAGTATACTTACATATAATACATATATACAAACACACTAACATACATGTATTCACATGTATACAAACACACAAACATACACAGACACTAAACACACATACACTACACACATACAAAAACACAAAAACATATACTACACATATAGACACAGCATACATACAAACACCCACAAACATACATAGACATGTGAATACATAAATGCATATAAACACATATACACAGACACACACACATGCAAACAGAAACACACAAACACTAACAGACATACATACACACATTCATACACAGACACACCGACACATACAAACGACACACGTGGGCACAGAGACACACACAGACACATATAGACACATACATGCACACACACATAGAAAGACTCACACACATATGTACAAACACATGCATGTATACAAGAAATACAGAGACACATACACAAAAACAAACTCATAATGGACATAATGCTGTAGCACAACTGTACTTTATGCACAATTGAAAGGGTCTTCTTCTGTATGGGAATATTAAATGTTTTCCTAACTTGTGGGTTTTAGTAAATTATCATTTAATAAAGACTTAGATTGAATGGTAACAAAATATTGTATTATCTTATAAGCTATCTCTCTCCCTCCCTTTTTGTCTTCCCTTCCTGTCCCCTTCCTCTCTCTGAGATAGCATCTCATGTAGCCCAGGCTGGTCTTGAACTATACAGACAACAAGGATGACTGTGACCTCCTCATCCTACTGCCTCCATTTGCTAGATGCTGGGATGACAGATGTGTACTAGTATGCCCAAGCTCTCCTGTATGTCTGTTTTCACTATGGAGGGAGAGAGACTGGATAAAAAAAAACAGTTTAACAAAAACATATTTATAAATAATACTACCACTGCAATAATAACCATTTTGATAATCATTCTTTGAAAATGGTATATTGTTCACACAGCAAGGTATATGATATTTTGAGTTAAGAAGCCATTGCAAAATACATAAATTCTGTCAAAGATTCAAAAGAAAATACAGCCAAGAAGCCATTGCAAAATACATAAATTCTGTCAAAGATTCAAAAGAAAATACAGCCAAGAGCTACTGTGCCAAATGGACTCATTAAATTTAGGCTTTCGAGCACCAGAAATGGAATGATACTACATTTTAATCTTCTCTTTAAAAACAAAGTTATACTTGTAGACTAAAATAAATTTGTCACAATCATAGTAAAGTTTTATGTTATATTTAGCTAAAAAGACTGGGGTTCAGAAAATCCAAATTTTATAAAATCTCACTGCAATTCTCATAACCTTGCAAGAAAAATTTTTATTTTGTTACTATTATTTTATAATTTTCTCATAGAAACAGTTGTAAACTCTTGATCTCAACACTCTGCACCTTGCGCATTACCATGAAGACAGGGCTGAATGTCTATGGATGTGTTTCAAGCAGATGTCATGCCAAATACAGACTTACAGAGCACTAATTTTCCTCTAGTTAATCTAAAAGGTTCAGTAAGGGTCTGTTAATCCTCCTTCATGTAGGGAAGAGATGTAGCTGGATTGAAATGCACAGTGTAATGAAAACATACTTACGAACAATAATGGCCACTGTAATGTAACCATTTTGATTTTCAACTTCTGAAAACCTGCGTTGTTCACACAGCACGGTAAACGCTATTTATCCAAAGCTGTTAATTACTATATTATAAGTAATTGTACTAATTCCAAACTAGAGGGAAAAACTTAAGACCCAGACACATCCAATTAACATCTCATACATGCTATCAAACTAAGCAAGTACCCAGCCAAAGTCTCTAAAACACAGGCCCATGCACTGAGCCTGTCTCACACATCCCTGTTGCACAATTAGAACTCTGTGGATTTTTGCTTCTGCTTAAAAAGTCATCTTCCCAAACAAACAAAACCAAAGGCTACAGAATTCTTAGCAGGATGGTTTTCCTCTGCGTGATCCTGACCCTGGTTGGGATCTGATCTTACTGTTCCCAACAACAAGCAATAAAAATACAGAGTAACAACACCTGTGAATAAAGCCTAGCGACAATACCTTTTTTCTCTTTCCTAATTGCTTCAGAGTAAGGTTTCTGTACAAATTTTTCTCCTTTCGGCATAAAGCTTTCTCGTTGCTAAACTAGACAAAGGTCTGTTCCATTACAGTAGTGATGACGGCATAAGGAAATTGTCTAATATGAAGCATTACATAAAGCACATTCCTCAGTGAAGCAAGGGTGTCGACTTGGAAGGAGGGTGTCTGTTACATTTTTGCCCAGCTGCTTTCTAGGCATGGGACTTGTGCAAATCCCTTAGAATCTGCAACCGTCCAATGGAGAGAGAAAAATGTGAAAAGAAATTGCATCAGTTACCTGCAGCTCAGAACACCTGTCTCCTGGTTAGCTTTTGAGGACCGTGTCCAGGAAGCATCCCATAGGCAAGCAGATAGCATGTCAGGCAGGAATGCAGTCTGTTTCTTAACAACAGTCATGTGGTGCTCATGGTAACAGAGCATGCAAGGCACTGGATTAACTGAGAGTATTACAGGACTACTTTGAAGAAGAATGACTGAAGCTCAGGTTTGGTGCAGTACACAACAGTTTGGAGAGTGAGATATATATATATATATATATTTTATGCCATAGTGAAATCCATTGGTATGCATATCCAACATACATTAATAAAAACTTAAAAATAAAACCCTAAACAATAAAGACATATTTATATTTGTGTAAAAATGAAATATATCAAAGCTAAGTGCCTGGTGATAAACACATACGTACCCTGCACCTCTGCACTACCAGAGGTGTGGGATTCGTTTATAATTTGTGTGTGCCATCCCCCTTTACACTGACTTCAATGTCATTTCAACTTTCTTTTTCTTCTTTCCCTTATATACTCAAAATCAGAAAAACTATTATCTATATTGTTTACACAAAAGTATCAAATATATGACCCCAATATGCTTGGAACATAAAAAGATTAGAACCAAAAAACTGAACAATTAAAAAGTAAAATAATCTGCCTAAAATTACTTATTTCAATGATAGTACTTATTAAATCACACAAAACTCATATTCCAGATGAATTACATGACACTATATTACATTACACCAGGATTCTGACATACTGCTTTTGAAAAGAAGATCTATTCAGTAAACGTTTCTCCTTGATTTATTTTTTATTGTCCAAAGACACAGTTGTACTTGCACTGTTTTTCCACAGACGTAGCCAGTTTATAAACAATGCCCTCTTAGAATAGCATCACTTTTCCACATACTTTCATCCAATTAGACTCACTGAAAGGGCTATGTAATTTGTATAATTAGAAGGGAAATGGCATGTCCCCTAATTACAAACTAACTTCTGTGCTTTGTTGTTATTGCAGACCTTGATGCATCCATTTACACTCAATTCTCACACTGAACCCTTTTTAGAAGTCATTGATTAAATACCTGCTCTCAGCACAGCTGTCTGCAAAGAGGCCCCGACTGCAAGGGCAACAGTCTCTCACCAGTGTCTTCTGCATGAGGACTGTATGCACAGGCATGTCCATCTCAGCAATATCTTTTGCAAAGCTACTCACTGCAGAAGTACCTCACTCTCAGTAGTGCCTTCCTCATGGGGACCATCCACACAGGAGTACCTCTCTCTCAGGAGTGCCTTCTGCATGGGGAACATCCACACATAGGTACCTTTCTCTCAGTACTGTCTTCTGCATTGGGAACATCCACACAGGAGTACCTGACTCTCATCAGTGTCTTCTGCATGGAGACTTTACCTTGGCAGGTTTGTTGGCATCCATGCTCTCTTTGAACTTCTCCTGCACAGTTGCTGCAAGCTGACAGAGCAAGGCACCATTATCCAACTTCTCCATGAAGGTTTCTGCGGTTATCTCCTTCCCTGAAATAACAAGAAGTAGAATTATAAAAAACATAATATTTTCCTAGTACAGACATCAGATTCACACTAACAAGCAATATTTCATTAGGAGCTTCTTCTATTAATTCTCAGTGAATTCTCTGAAATGACCATAAGAATGATTTCTTTAGCATTTTTTGTTTTAATTTCGTGGTTGGAGTCTCAACAGTTTATAGTAATTCTAAGTGTACGAAATTGTATTTCATGTCAATTTGATGAATGGTATCCTAGGTAAAAGATTCCCTAGACTTAGGAACCAGGGGTAATGAAAACCAGTCAATGAGACTCAAAGAACTAACCTACCCAGGGATTCTATATTTACAGAAATACATAACAAAATGTATTAAATGACAGCCAATGACACAATCTTCACCAACTCTAAATGTGACAGAGGGCTAATATCCAAAATATATGAAGAACTAAAGAAGTAAAAAACAAATCAAGTAATCCAATTAAAAAATGGGGTACAGAGCTAAACACAGAATTATATATAGACGAATATCGAATGGCAGAGAAACACTTAAAGAAATGCTCAATGTCTTTAGTCACCAGGAAAATGCAAATCAAAACAACCCTGAGATTTCACCATACACCCATCAGAATGGCTAAGATCAAAAACTAAAGTGACAACACATGCTGGAGAGGTTGTGGAGAAAGGGGAACCCTCCTCCATTGCTGGTGGGAATGTAAACTTACACAACCACTTTGGAAATCAATCTGGCACTTTCTCAGACTATTAGAAATAATGCTAACTTAAGATCCAGCTATACCACTCCTAAGCATATATCCAAAGTATAGTCAAGTATACAACAAGGACATTTGCTAAACCACGTTCATAGCAGCTTTATTCTTAATAGCCAGAATCTGGTAACAACCCAGATGTCCCTCAACTGAGGAATGGATACAGAAAATGTGGTACATTTACACAATGGAAGTCTACTCAGCAATTAAAAACAAGGAAATCATGAAAATTGCATGCAAATGGTGGGAACTAGAAAAGCTCATCCTGAGTGAAGTATCCCAGAAGCAGAAAGACATACATAGTATATACTCACTTATAAATGGATATTAGACATTTAATAGGATAAACTTATTAAAATCTCTACACCCAAAGAAGCTAAGGAAGAAGGAGGACCCTAGGTTAAGATGATCAATCTTTACTCAGAAAGGCAAATGGGATTGACATCAGAAGAGGAAGAAAACAGAGAACAGGACAGGAGCTTACCACAGAGGGCCTCTGAAAGACTCTACCCAGCAGGGTATCGAAGCAGCTACTGAGACTCATAGCCAAACTCTGGGCAAAGTGAACGGAATCTTCTACAAAAGGGAAAGACAAAAGACCTGGAGGGGACAGAAGATCCACAAGGAGCAACAGAACCAAAAAATCTGGGAACAGGGGTCTTTTCTGAGACTGATACTCCAACCAAGGTCCATGCATGGAGATAACCTAGAATCCCTGCACAGATGTAGACCATGGCAGCTCAGTCTCAAGTAAGTACCCTAGTAAGGGAAACAGGGGCTGTCTCTAACATGAACTCAGTGGCTGGCCCTTTGATCACCTCCCCCTAAGGAGGGAGCAGCTTTACCAGGCCACAGAGGAAGACAATGCAGCCAGTTCTGATGAGACCTGATAAGCTAGGGTCAGATGGAAGGGGAAAAGAACCTCTCCTATCAGTGGACTTGGGGAGAGGCATGGGAGGAGAAAAGGGAGGGAGGGTAGGATTGGGAGGGGATGAGGGAAGGGGCTATAGCTGGGATACAAAGTGAATAAACTGTAATAAATAAATAAATAAATTTTTAAAAATTAAAATAAGAAAAACACACATTGACTCTCAGCATGTAATTTGTTCAGTTATTACTTTTGGTAGCTTGTTAAGTTATTTTGGTCTGCAAAGCAAAACTGGTATATCATATCTGTGACATATCTATTCATAACAACAACAACTCAATTGCTAGAGTACTTGGCTACATTTCAAGTTGAAGACCAGCCTTGGATACATGGGTTCCTATCTCAAAAATAAAAACAACAATAACAAAAAAATAATCAAAACAAAACAGGCTACAGAAATGTCTCAGCTGTGTAGTGCTTGCCATGCAAGCATGAGAACCTGAGTTCAGAGGCCTAGCACTCACGTAAGAGAGTGAGGAGGGGAGAAGGAGAGAAAGAAGGAGGGAGGAGGAGAAGGAGGAAGGAAAGAGGCTTGTGCAAAGCAGGGGTCCAGGTACTTAACCTGGCACTGAGGAGGAAAAGCAAGAGGCTCTCTGGACTTCGCTAGTGATCATTTAGTTTAGAGTTTAGTTTAGTTTGCTAGCACTAGTTTAGTTCAGAACTAGTTTAGTGAGCTCTAGGTTCAGTGAGAGACTCTGTTTAAAAATAAGGTATACAAATAAGGCTGCTACAAACATGGTTGAGCAAATGTCCTTATTGTGTACTTGAGCCTCTTTTGGATATATGCCTAGGAGTGGTATATAGCTGGATCTTGAGGAAGTGCTATTCCTTTTTGTCTGAGAAAGTGCCAGATTGATTTCCAGAGTGGTTGTACCAGTTTACATTCCCACCAGCAGTGGAGGAGGGTTCCCCTTTCTCCACACCCTCTCCAGCATGTGTTATCACTTGAGGTTTTGATCTTGGCCATGCTGATGGGTGTAAGGTGAAATCTCAGGATTGTTTTGATTTGCACTTCCCTGATGGCTAAAGACATTGAGCATTTCTTTAAGCGTTTCTCTACCATTTGATATTCCTCTATTGAAAATTCTCTGTTTAGCTCTGTACCCCATTTTTTAATTGAATTACTTGATTTGTTGCTTTTCAACTTCTTTAGTTCTTTATATATATTGGGATATTAAAACCCAGATGCCCCTCAACTGAAGAATGGATACAGAAATTGTGGTACATCTACACAATGGACTATTACTCAGCAATGAAAAACAAGGAAATCATGAAATTTGCAGGTAAATGGTTGGATCTGGAAAGGATCATCCTGAGTGAGCTATCCCAAAAGCAGAAAGACACACAGGGTATATACTCACTCATATAGACATATAATATAGGATAAACCTACTAAAATCTGTACACCTAAAGAAACTAATCAAGAGGGAAGACTGGCTAAAATGCTCAATCCCCATCCTGAAAGGCAAAGAGGATGGACACCAGAAGGAGAAGAAAACAGGAAACAAGTTAGGAGCCTCCCACAGAGGGCCTCTGAAAGGCTCTGGCCTGCAGACTATCAAAGCAGATGTTGAGGCTTACGGCCAAACTTTGGGCAGAATGCAGGGAATCTTATGAATGAAGTGGGAAATAATAGTTAGATCTGGAGGGGACAGGAGGTCCATAAGGAGAGCAACAGAACCAAAAAATTTGAGCACAGGGGTGTTTCCTGAGACTCATACCCCAACCAAGTACCATGCATGGAGATAACCTAGAACGCCTGCACAGATGTAGCCCATGGCAGTTCAGTGTCCAAGTGGGTTCCAGAGTAATGGGAACAGGGACTGTCTCTGACATGAACTGATTGGCCTGCTCTTTAATTACCTCCCCCTGAGGGGGGAGCAGCCTTACCAGGCCAGAGGAAGACAATACAGCCACTCCTGATGAGACCTAACAGACTAGGATCAGAAGGAAGAAAAAGAAGCCCTCCCCTACCAGTGGACTTGGGGAGGAGAGTGTGTGGAGAAGGGGGAGGAAGGGAGGGGTTGGGAGGGGAGGAGGGAGGGAACAAGAGGGGGGATACAAAGTAAATAAAGTATAATTTAAAAAAAAATAAGGTATACAGCTGAGGAGGACACTTGCTGTGGATCTCTGACCTAATTAAGCTAAAGCTTATACAAACACACCATATAACCACCCCGTACAGGCATGCAAATGAACACATAAACACACACACACACACACACACACACACACACACACACACACACACACTTTATTCTTTTTAAAGAGAATGATGGTACATAAATAAACCATCCCAAGTAACCCCAATAAGAATGCCACTAAACCTCATCTAAACTATACTAACCCTTACCTAAACTACGCTAAACTTCATCTCTAAACTCTATTAATTAATGTGTTATTCTTGATTAAGAGAGATTAAGATCCAGGTAAGATTGTTGCCAAAGATATACTCTAAGTAAAAACATAAAAACCATTTGGGCAGTTTGAGTATTGCCTTCTGTGCACAGCCTTCAGATGGCAGTTATGTCTGGAGCTCCACTTTGTTCCTCCCTCCCTACTGAGCCACTACTGCTCTCAGAAGCTGTGGTCCTCAACCAATCATCTCTACACCTGACTAAATCCTAGTTAGACATTCAATTTTCTGAGATGATCCCCAGAGTATATTCTCTTTCTCCATTTCCTGTTTAATTTTGAGATAGCTTTACTGAGATCTACTCCATAGCCTTTCTCATTTGGCCTTTTGATGTACATAATTCAAATGCTATGCATATATTCAGAAATGTATAGTCATCCTCATAATTTCAAAACATTTTTACCACATCACAAGGAATTCCACCACCTTTAGTTTCTATGAGCCCCCCACCACATCAACAGAATCACCACTTGTGGCTTTCCATAGCTGCCACAACTCATTTTTTCCCAGGCCCTCTCCTTTGCTTGGATCCTCATTTTCAGTGTTTTTGCCCCTGCCTTGATTACCTACAACTTGAAAGTCACAAATCCTGTTGATTCAAACTGTATCTTTTGCCCATGCCTTCATTGTCTGATGACTAACATGATGGCAACCAAGGGCTGAGGGCTGTTTCCTAGGTCTTCACTCACTTTTTAGTGCAGTGTACCATGTTCCTTGGTACAGTCTTCACTCAGATAGACACCTTTACTAAACACTTTCTATCCCATCTCTACATTGGAAAAAAAAAAAAAAGCACAAATCTATGCAATGTATCCCAATACCCAATGGCCTCCAGTGATGCCTCTGGCCATCTTTCTCATCAAATGCTTCAAAATCTGCCCGAGCTCCACATACTAC